GTTGGAACACGCCGTTGCTGGCAAATATTTTGCTTCTGCAGTGTATTCTGTGCCAAGGCGAAGCAGTATATGAGGGAGCTATTCCCTAGTGATGTAAGCCAATAACCCCCAAGGAAAATGCACAGTATTTTGCATACGTTTACAGCAAAAAAATCACGACCAGAGAGCAACGAAATGTAGATATTTCCTGTTCTCCGGTGCAAAAAGCGTAGCACGCTGCACAACTGTTTGCACTTTTCCAACCAATTTACCTCTGTAAAATAAATAGCCCCACAAGGCGGCAGGCAATTTGCTTTCTGCGTGTTTTGTGTGAAGGGGGACCTCACGACCGTCCGTTTGCGCACAAAAAACGGCCTTGAGATCATTACCTGCCAGATCGCTTCGGGGTACTCGCTGATTGCCATTCAAAACTGCACCGATAAGCCTTACATCTCAGGTGATGCTGCTCAAACAGCTGCGTCGGATGGACAGGAAGCTGAGCGGGACGGTTGAGCAGCGGCAAACTAGTTGCTTCAACATCTACGTGAAACATAATTAGGGTTGAAGCAGAATAATTTTTTTGAACTGGCCATACGTACCTCCGGCTTTGTACTCTGGTCAGCTCCCCTACGCTTTTTGAGGCCCAACTTCGTAAGTCGTTGAATTATACGATCGTCGGTGGTCATTTCCGTGCTGTTTTCGCTTCAGCACAGTTCGATCATATGATCCCCCTCCACCATGCGCACTCACTCCTCTCATTTCTTTTCCCCTTGCAACTCCTTTAAAGCAACCAACGTCACAATATGCATAACCGGCGGCTATTCCTGACCAGTGTACAGGTGTTCTAAAATATATTTAGTCCCCTTTACAGAAGGATAGAGAGCTTACTAAATTACATCCTAACTAAACTTAAGCTCAATCGCCAACAGATAGTATACAGCGGAAAGTGGGACTGTGAATGGTGGTCCACTCTGTGATGGAAAGCGAGCGATTGCTGAAGGGTCTCACGTCGTCGGACGTTCACAACGATTTCTTTATNGTGGAAGTTCGATTCACTATCATAGAGACGCTGGACAGACTGCTTCAACCATCGTTATATTGGGATCCGTACAAGCCCCGAAACCTATTCAGTTGTTCATTGGCCTTCACGAAATTAGGATGCAAGCAACCAATATGAAAGGCACAGCAGAATCAGAGAACTTGCTGACATTCTGTGGAAGCTAAAAATCATCGTGCTGTTTTTTACAGTAGACGCTGAAACTACGACGTTGTTTCACGACTTACAAAAGAATTACCATATTATAATTATACTGCGAGAAGAAAAGTGGATTCAGTGTGTGGGGTGCCCGTAACTTCCAAGCCTCCCAAAGTCGGAAAGATTTGCCCTGCGATACCTTAGACTGCACGCATAATTTGCAAGAGCATAATCATGAAAAAGAAGAGGGCAGCTGTTCTTTTTTTCATCCATGCTATCAGTCCACGGGCGAGAACCATCTTCAACGAACACTGGAAAGAGTAGCTAGCCATATGGCGTATATATACTTCAGTCTTCAAGCAAGGTCAATTATATGATTCATCTTGTCCATATGTTTCCAGTGTTTGCCTTGGTGTTCACATTGTAGTCACATTCCATTGGCAATCACATTGTAACTGCATCTCTACATTAGCTGATAGTTTTTAAACCTTCGGGAGGCCCTAAGCACTGCCAGCGTAGTTATGCAGTACGATCCTACGGGAAATCAGCAATATCAGGACTCCGCCATAGCATCAGGCTGTGGCGAGCTGCAGTAGAGTCGAAACATCTAGGAGACTAGTTTGCCAGAAAGCAGCAGGCCTGTCTCCTGAGAAATCCGACAGAGGAGACTGAGGCTGGTGGTGAGAGGAGGTATCCTGTCTTGAGTCGCAGCGTTCCCAGCCGCAACCCCAGGCACACGGCAAACCCGCATGCACGTATAGCCAAGACCCCTTTCGATACGTGCGTCAACATTGTGGTCAATAGTTAACTATGTATTTGACCCACACCAGCCAATAACGGGTAGCAGAGTTTGCCCGCTTTCTAATGATAGACACTGTAACGTTCAGGGTTTTCTTGCACGTTATGCGTGTTTCGAATGTGTCGCACATAGCCGCGCTTGATCAAATAGTGATCCGGAGGGATAACAAAATGACTGTGCAAGCAAAGCAAACCATAAACGCCCATGGCGTTTCTTCACTGAACTTCACTGACAGTTAAATCCCCACTTCGAAATCCCGCACATGCAGTGGCTGTGTCGTTCTGTGGAACTCCTACGTAAAAAGCATTGACTCGTAAAGGCTCAAAATTGCTAGTACAAACAATTGGCTTCTTGGCCTCCTGCGTGTCTGCAGCAGGAGTTCCAACAGACCCCGTAAAGTTAGAGGCCATAGCGGTGGGTGTCACTCCTATACGCTTGCACCGATGTTCTAGGGTTTCGGTCTTGCATCGTGGTACTGAAACTTTGTCCGTTGATTTGCTTCTATTGCCGCCGGTCTGACGGATATGGTCACGAACGGCAGGCAACTTATTTGGATGCAGAAGGAACAAGCTGCAGTAGGAAAAGACGTTACTCGCTCCAAAGGCTAGGATACTTAACACTAACAAAAGATAGGATCGAAGCAGTCACGCTGGAACATTTACACGCTCTCTTGGACTCAGCGGTGACGACTAGAAGCGTGGCTTCTCACAGCACAGCATGCACTTGGGCAACGTATAAAGTTTTTTGATAGTTGCTATTTCATATGTCTGTAGCTTGCTGCACCTTCATATTGACATGTTCTCCAGCTCATTGTTTTCGCAGTGTGATAGACCGCTCGTCCTGTACCTAGTTCGGCGAAACCGCCGGGAGCANTGCACTTGTAATACTCAGCATTTCATCGCACACTTTTGTTTTAGCTGTGGTGCCAGCTTCAAAGAGGGTACAACTGTTCCTACATGAACTGCTGCCAATTGTTGGGGAACCAGGGCGCGTTCTGTTCGGGGAGAGGAGGCAGAACAGATGCAGTAAAATATATTTGAAGTTAGTATGCGTACACTTCCTGTAGTGAATACTCACTACAATCACGGCACAATTGCCGTGCTCGTTGTGTAAGAACGATGCTCGATTGAACAGTGGAAATGTGTGGCTGCTTACTGTTGATTATTGAGCAAGTAGTTGGTGAACGTATTAAATATTGTCTACGAAGAGACGTATTGATATGCCTATAGGAGAGACTTGCGTGAAACTTGGTGCAGAAGGTGTTGCAACATGCCAGGCCGCCTCCTCTCGCAGTCCCAAAGACCGCAGTGCAGGGTTTAGTGGGGTTGCAGAACACAACAATTTTGAGGAAAAACAAGAAACATCCTTTAGGGTTTGTTAGTTTTGTTATGTTGCTGCATCAGATGAGGGGTCTGAGTGTCAGTAGCAGTTTACGTGCGGGTTTCAGTTAACTACTGCGCGCCGGCTGGTTATACTCAGCTGTGGGGTTCTAAGGATGCGCTGATACCGTCAAGTGGTGTGTACTCCTTCCCCTGGTTCCTGCCGAGAACTACCAAATACCAAAGAAGAGTGCTCGTGGCACACATGCGATGGACACCTGCAGCAAGCGTTGAATGCCTATAGCTCTGGGGGCGCTCTGGAGAACTTCGTGGGTAGCACAGTTTTGTTAGTATTGATGCATCCCCAAATTATCGGATTGCCGCATGTCTTTACACCAGGCTGACCAGGCACTGTCACCCTATATCTGTGCCGTAGCGCTACGAAGCCCCAAAGCCCCACGTACCGGGTCCCAAAGCCCTAAACGGCAAGCCGTCAAACCGTTCCGAAACTCGACCTCTAAATAATCATCTAAACAAAGTCCCTTTAAGGGCCGAGCGTAACAACTTAAAATGCCTTCTTTCGCTTGCGGCATACAAACGAGCAGCGCTCATACGACTCCCACCCCCGGGCAGAGAAGCTCATGCGGCAAGTTGCGCCCTCTTCCTAAGTTGCTTCCAATCCCTAGATACCAAGGTACAAACACTAGGCATGCAATTGTCGAAAGCAAGGAAAAAGACAGTTTAGGAACCAGGTAGCGGCACCTGGAGCTGACGGCTCAGCCTAAGTGGAGTCACTTCACTTAAGGAAGTCGCAGTCTACCAACTGCCCGTTCGGATTTGCTGCTGCCAGCGTCACCACTGCTTCTAAAGCGCCATCCCTATAACCTTTGAGCCGACAGTCATTCCTTAGTTGCTGCTGTACATCTATTTCACTCAAAGACATGGGATCTTAGTGCTTCAGCGTCGGCAGTAAACCAGTACGATTGAAGCGTGGTTTTTCTTGAGACGAGAGGAAGATTTGCAGCTACTGCGGAAGCATGACTGTTTATTGCTTGAACAGGCAAATATACCTTGAGTATCTAGGAGACCAAATCTGCTGTCCTTCGATAACAACGCAGCACGTACGCTACGCTGTCGCCGTCCTTCACACGCGTACTTGTTGCTGCGCTCAGAGCGAGTGGTATCAGAATTGCTGTGTAATCTGCTTTGTTTGCTTTCTTGCTAGAATGAGCCGCACCATAACTCAGGTGTTTGAGGAGTTCCAAAGGGCAAGGTCCCACTTCGTGCAAACTTTAGCCGATCTCACTCAAAGGCCACAAAATATCGATGGCCTCCGCGCAGCCGGTGAGCTGTCTGAAGATTTACAGGAACAACAACAGAACAGCATAAAAATTGTAACTACACGCCTTCAAAAAAAATCATCAGACTCGCTCGTAAACATATTCCCACCATTTTTGTCAGAACCCAGTGCCTCTGGTAAATGCATGCTTTCAAATTTGCTGGACACGCAGCCAAAAATAGCTGTTGCTCTGTAGCTGCTTTTTGTACGCATATGCTAAGAGGTCCGTGCTGCGTTTAATGGAATGTTTAGGAGCTTTGAGGCTGTTAAGGCCGCTGCTGTTAGACTCCATACCAGGAATCCAGCAAACAGCAGCGGTTGCAGTGGGGAGGCTTGCCGGCCATAGCGAGGAGGCGGCGAGAGAATGCGTCAATGAGGAGATTCTTCCCCATCTTGTTGCATCCGTTGCAGAGCAGAATGTGTGTTTCCACAAATGCGGTGGACTGCTTCCCTTTTCGTCCTGTCTCGCCGTTATCTTGTGTCCCTTTAAACGGTGGACTCTGCATTTCCGGTATCCCACCTTGCGTCGAACGATTTGCCCCCAAGGGGGATAATAATGAGCTTTTGCGGATCTCCGACGCCTGTGATCGTTCTGGAGGTTGGGGGGAGTGGGGCATGTGCAGAGAATGAGTGCCGGATGGCATCAGCATCGCTAAAAAAAAAAANAAAAAAAAAAAGCGTATGTCATGGGTCCGCTAAGCGGCTATTTGAAGTAATTGTGTTGTTGTTATTACTGCTGGCTTCGCTGCTGCAGAGATTCTACAGGAGATCAGCGGCATTTGTAATGCGGTCGATCGCGAAGCATTCAGCTGAGCTAGCACAGGTAATTAGAGCCGCTGCTAAATGCGTGGTATGATTCTCATAGTAATAGCACCCATCCGCATTGCGATTATGTGCGCCAGTCTCATATTTCTTGGGTTTCTCTAGGCATTTTCTGGCTTCCCCTATCTGCACTAATTGAGGGAGCCTTCACTTAGCCTCAAACACCAGTGCATACTGCGTTTTGAGGACTTCAGGCGGTCGTAGACAGCGGCGCTCTGGCAGCATTATCGCAGTGTCTTGAGGCATTCGACCCCCAAGTGAAAGACGCGGCTGCATCTGCAATAGGCACGACCCTTGTGAACCACTCTGCTATCTCACGCTGGGCTCACCTTGAATTTCCCTGCCCCATATTATCTCCGGGAAGCTTTGAAGAGATACATATTGCATCCCCTGTGTGCCTTTGGTGTGTTGCTGACTATTCTGCCCCCAGGGTGTATTGCTCGCCACTCCGAGTCACTAGCCTCCTCGGTGGTTGCGGCTGGGACGGTCCCGCTTCTTGTCTTGTGTATTCAAGAACCGGAGATAAATATTAAGAGGAGTGCAGCCGCAGCTCTTGGGGATATAGCCAAGCACTCCCAGGAACTGGCGCAGGTGGGTCAGCAAATGGGAAACTGCAAGAAACGTATAAAGGGCAAGCATAACGTTGGATATATGAAGCAAGCTGCCACAAGCGAATATGGTGCCTCGGTAGCAAAATATTGGTATTCTGACGCTTTCTCCGGCTGCCGCAGGTTGTTTGTGATGCCGGCGCAGTGCCTCTTCTATCAAAGCAGCTGGGCAGCACAGACGCAGTCGTCCGACGCCAGGCAAGGCCTTAAGGATAATGCTTCATGCGATAGGAACGAGATTCGTCTTTCTTGTTAATGTTGTGGTCACTTGCACTACACTTGCTCTGTGCCTATACGTCCCCTCAACAGCCACCCTCCTTCAGCCTCTTTCAGATGAACTACAGTTGCGTTCTATTAATACCCATGTTTGAACGTCCAGGCATAGTCAGTGCCACTCTTGTATGCCTATGCTGGTGGCTTATATTTGCTCGGCTACTTCGCCAAGTCGCTTGTTTCTTACATCGCATTCCCTTTCGCTTTCTCCCCTTTTTCCAGATTTGCTGGTGTCTCTCGCGCATCGCCACCCACTCTGTGGAGTTTGCTGAGGTTTGGCTACTACCTGAAATGCCGAAAAACCTAGAAAGGCGCAGCGGATCCTTTTGCTTAGCAGTGGCGCTCTCCTGTGCATTCAGAATTCCCGTATACTGTTTCATGATTGTTCTATTGACAAACCTATATATTTCATGCCCGTTATTTGCTATACTGCATCAGGCTGTGGTAGAGGCGGAGGCGTTGCCCAAAACTCTGCACTGTTTGAAGGACCCAGACGACCTGGTTCGGTGCGTAGGCAGAACGCCACATACCTATTCGAGTCACAGGAGGTTGAGTTTCATTATTATTCGGTGTATCTGTCATTAATGCAAGTAGATTGTTTTAACACCCCATGTTACGTGGGCTAGTGGGCTCGGAAAGGTTTGAATGTTGTTTCACGGCCGGTGTGTGCTCTCTCAGAAAGAATGCTGCCACCTGCGTGCGAGAGATAGTCAAGCATACTCCCCAACTAGCTCTGTTTGCTGCCAACGCGGGTAGGAACAAAAAAGTAGAGAACAGATACAGGGATCTGCTGCCAACGCGGGGAGACAGAGAAATTTAGCTGACGAAATAACGAATTATGCTAAAAGATCCATCTACTAGACAGGAGCTCAAAGAAAAGCCAGTTTCTTCTTCCTTCTCCCCAATTCTGTTTCAGGAGCTATCGCAGCGTTGATAGATTTAATACAAGAAACAACTGGGCCAACTCGGTATGCAGAATCTAGTATATGCTGACACAATTTAGAAGCCAGTCAATATCTTGCGTATCTACAAACAGGCATCCGCTGACGCATCAAAAAACCAGCAATTTGTTCGTAGCCCATATTATGTTAGTGATGCTGTGGATGGCCCTGCCCCCATCTGCCAGCGCGCCAGCACNGGTGTTGCTGTGTTTCAGCATTCTTATCTGCCTCTGTGCAGGGTTGCTGGCATTTTAGCTCTAGGCTACATAGGTGCCTTTACAGAAACATTGGCTTTGGCAATAATCGTTCAGAAAGGTAGGCCACTTGCCTCGTCAAATCCCACTGTTATGCCTCCTTCAGCGCCTCCCGGGCTCTTGCAGTCGAAGTACTTTTGGCTTGAAGCCCATTCGTTTCTCCGCCGTTGCTATCTCTAGTTTCTTTCTCCGCCTGAACTTGCAATTAACTGCGCAACCGTGGCAACCCGAAGGCGCTTTCCACGGTGAAATGTTAGCTGCATGGCAGTATTTTTTTGCTGGACAATGTTGGGCTTTCCGCAGGGATCCCTCCTCTTAAAAATGCGCTAGAGACAGAGACTGAAGACCACGCTAAGGCAGCGGCTGCCTGGTACGTCTACCTGGCACCTTGCCTCCGGCACAAAGTTGTTCAACAGTATAATAGTCGCATATGCTTACCTTTCCTGTCCTTGTAGTGGATCCCAGTGTCAGAATATAGTCTGATGTTTACTCGGGGACGATTCTAATGGCGCATGATAATAACGCGCACAATGGCTATCAGATAGGAGACGAATGCAAGTAGCGAATCGCAGTCGCAGGAGAAAGAGAAACAGCGGTGGTGAACTAACGGTCAATGTGCATGACGCTTTTAGGGCGGTGGGCCAGCTCGGACGGCATACTCCAGACCATGCTATGGCTGTTGCGGAAGCAGATATTTTGAGACTGTACGTATTGGATTTTGCACTATATTGGTGGCGTAGAAGCCTAGAGGGCTTGTTCTCTGTCAAGTCAAATCGTTGATATCATAGACGGCTAGCTCGGCCTTGGCAAGTTCGTCGATGGCTTATTTTGCGAAGGTCTTCCTGCTGCGCTGTGTAGGCTATTGTCAGCTTTCCTTGCGTCTGAATCATCCGATGAGTTGAAAGCGAAGGCAAAGAGAGCACTCAAAGTGCGTTGGCCGTGGTAGTCCCTGAGCTGCAGATACCATTGACCTGTTCTGCCTGGCTAGTGGCTTTCCAAGCGCCTTACTGGATGTTGCTTAAATTGTGTTTGCTCTGCTACAGAACATAATACAGATGTGCACTCATTTGACAGCGTTAGAAACCCTGCTTGGCGAGGCACCTCCATCCATACTCAAGTAAGGATCACAGTGCTGCCATATTGGAAGCATCACTCCCCTTGTTGCGGATCCCTTCTTTTTCCCATTAGCCGTAGCTTCGGTCGTTTCTCATTTTGGCTTGAATCCGTATGTGTTATCACAGCTCATGGGCCGTCCTTTTGTCTGTTTTGGGCTTTCATATCGATGACTCTAGCAATTAGCCCCATTCTCGTGGTGCCTTGCGCATCGCTGTTTTACGTACGCAGATGCATTGTCCAACAGTTTGCCAAAGTGTTACCCAATGATCCCAAGGCACGAAGAGCCTTTGTACAGACTGGCGCACTGGAGACGTTGTTGGTAAGTGAAAAACTAGCACAACCCAATTCGGCGAAACTTATCCGAGTGGAACTTATATCAAGACTAAGTAGTGTCCTGCTCTCCGGAAGCTCACTATGCAATGCTACCCCTGACAGCGAGTTTCCGAGGAAAACGACAAACCTTACTCTGTGGTACTATCTATGTGGCGGGTCTATTCTCCTGATTTTGCCTAGAAAATACGTGAGACCGATGCTGCGACGGAAGTACTCGACTACATCCAAAGCGTCTGCAACCTATACCCGCCTGAAGTTGTCAATTACTATTCCCCGGGCTATTCTGGTATGCCTTTACCTCCAGCATTTCCTTGCAGCTTCCCGTGAACATACGTATACTGCATGTTCTCATCACTTTGTGCTCCGCTCCACTTCGATCTCACTGTCTCTGCTTAGCTTAGTGCCTTTCCCTTTATGCGCACCAGTTGCTCTGCCCTAAACCAACTCTTCGAAAAACACAATCGTTCGGCTAGTTCTCTGTCATAGCTCTACCGAGCACTGCCGTCAGTCCGCTGGTGTCAGTCTCCTTGTTTCTTTGTGCAGCGATCCTCATTGAGAAGATTGATGCCCAGGCATAGACAGCATTAATCATCACTAATGTTGTGCTTTCTGGTCGGTACAACTAGCGAGAGCAAGGTAGCACCACCCTCTTGCTCAGCATAATAAAAGACGTTCGTTAAGCACTTTCTTCCCCTGCAGTGACAACCCTGTTCCACACAGGAATCGATGTATGAGAAAAGTGGGTTTTTGGTAACCCGCCAAATCACTCCGCTGCAACTTTGGATAAGTCCAACATTGCACTTCCTTGTTTGAGCTCCGTGGGGAAACGCGACTCTACTTACGCCTGCTGGCATTTTCCTTGCTTTTTAGCAAACTTCATTTAATGATGACCCCAGGCGCATCGCTGCAACAGAGTCAAGGGAGTTGGAGAGGAACCACAGTTGCCTCAATGGGCCTCACAGGCCCGAAATGCCTAAAGCGATACATTATGGTCGACGGAATCATCTTCGTCTGTCCAGCTCCAATGCTTCCTTGCGGACGGAAACGCATCTGTCTACTGAGTCAGAAACTGTTCACTAGTTGTGTTTCAGGACGGAGCTAGAGTGCATCATNACCGTGAAAGAGAATAAGCACAGGCGTTGACCGAATCGTCAAGCTTGCAATTTAAAAATTCAGGAGAGCGATAACCGAGATATTAGGCACTGCCTACTCCCATACATAGTACTGGAGGTGGTAATGTGTGCTGCAAAAATGGAGGTGAAGAAATACGAAGAACTCTACATGAGCATGGGGTTGCACGACATGCTCCTTCTTTGGCATTGTGAACAGACAAAATGACTGGACAAATGCCCCGTGCAGCAGGTGGAGCTGCTCAGGAATCCTGGCGGTATGTTCAGTGCTTCATAGCAACCTGATGAAGTCCCGCGAGAGAAACTTCCATGCAGTAATCCACCTAAGGAGACTTTGGGGCATTACGGATAATGGGGCCCTAGGAACTTGAGCTCACTTACGTCAGTGAATGCGCCAAGCGTCCGCAGCTCTGCGTCTTGTTCACGCAATGACAACACAAAAGCGGACAAAAACAACCCAATCGTGAGACCTAGTAGGGATCCGCATTACCTCACACGGTGCGGCGTTGCCAATCCATAGCAATGGAGGTACTGAGGGGCCAGTAAGCCGATGATCCGTCAGCTGCGCTCTCAGTCACTCAGAGCGTGACATGTTAGCTGGCTGTTCCTGTGAAAGACTATTGTGGGGGGCATCCTTCGAACCCAACTGACGAGTGTAAGTATCCGGCACGTATAAGTTGACGGTCACTCTCAACGGAGCTCTCTTATGCAGCAAAATAGCGAGGCCAACGAGTGTTAAAGAATGTTTTTTCTCTTGTTTTGATCTCTCCAATCGTTCTGGTCTCATTACCATTGGAGCCCGCACCGCAGCCCTAGGGGTGCTGAGCGGAGACNTCTCTCCAATCGTTCTGGTCTCATTACCATTGGAGCCCGCACCGCAGCCCTAGGGGTGCTGAGCGGAGACGGCCTGGCGTGTTGCCCCGCCATTGCATCAAGTCTCATGCCAGCTTCTCATACAGTCACACGATAGTACAGAACAATACGTGTCTTTATAAACACTATCTAACACACTCATCATATATTTACTCAATAAACATTAATATGGTCTCACATTTCGATTGTCAAATCAGCCCTCACTCTTGCAGAAGCAGCACGGCAATGTTGCCGTGTAAGTATTCACTACAATATACAGGTAGGCATTATACCCTCTTGCCAAGATATACTTTTAGGTGGCGAACATAGTAATACGTACATTTTACCTCGTTAAGCGCAAAGAACAAAGGTCCCGAGGATGAAGGGTGGGGGCGCTCCAACGGTTCGACAGGCCCCTGAGAATGGCTGTCGCGAGGTTACGCTGGAACACTAGAACGTTCAAGAAAAATATCCAGGGAAAAACGCGTTAAAGCAAAAAAAAGATTCCTTCTATGCGCCAGGTTCAGCGAACTTCACGTGCTTAGCTACTTGGCTGCTGAGACATGGAGAGGAGGCAACAACCTTTCAGCCTTGGATAAGCCTGTGCGGTGCCAACTTTTAGCTCCATGCTTATACACTGGCCCGTTTACGCCTCTTCTAGCGGATCNAAGCCTGTGCGGTGCCAACTTTTAGCTCCATGCTTATACACTGGCCCGTTTACGCCTCTTCTAGCGGATCCCAACCACAGGTATTCACAAGACTACGTTCCCCACCTGCCCTCTCAAACTATTGCAGGTGAGTGTTCTTCGGGATCTTGAATGCACATCGTCCGACTGATAGAAGAGGAAGAACACCTGCAGCCCCACCACTAAGGGCTGGATGCCCAAATAGAGGTATGACACTTCTCGACTGCAATGTCCGTGAATCCTCCGAGTGAATGCGAAGTTCCCGATAAATCTGAAAGGAGAAGCAGTGCTTGGTACAGGTATAGAATTGTACGCGTTCCTTGCAAAAAATTGGCTTGTTCGAGAATCCTGTCCTTCGAGCAGGAGTGGATACAAAACGCGCAGAGATCGAGGCCATTCGTCAGCGGAACTTGCAGTGAGGCTCACACGTTTCTGGCTCAGAAGTCTGACAAAAAAGTTGACACTGTCCTATTGATGCGCGTTGCACAGNATGCGTCGCGTGAAGTTGTCGGTGGAGGTACTATTCTGTTTCCAATTGCGCTCTTGTTCCCCCTTGGATAACGTTGAATTGCGGGACCTCCTGCAGCTTAAGTGAATATCTATGAGGACTTTGACGTCCTCACAGATATTCACTTAAGCTGCAGGAGGTCCCGCAATTCAACGTTATTTAAGGGGGAACATCAACGAATTTGCTATTGCGCATGGTACGAGTGTGAACCGTTGACCACACGAATGCCATTGAAGGACGACCTATTCATTAATCATCACATAAGCGCTCCACATCAATCCGAAAGATCATCATTACTGCTAAGGCCGCTAAGCGGGTTAGCGCTTTCTGGTGCGAACTTATGACACGCCCGAGAATCGGCACCAGGACGACCGCCGCCAACTCCCCGCCGGCAGACGCTGAAACTGAACATACCAACGGCATGCTTGCGCAGTGCAGCCGACGGCACTAGTCAATCCGGCTACGTATTATCCCTTACCCTGAACGCCTTTATGGAAGAACACTGCTATCCTGCGTTTGCTGGACTCCGGATTCTCTGGACGAGAACGAAATATCGTTACCTTGCCCGATGATGGATCTGGTTGCCCGAACCCAGCGCATTGCTACCGCAGCTTCAGATATCTATAGGCAATTATTAGCCAGGTAGTGCTCAAAGCCGGCACAGGAACACGAGAGGAAAAGCTTGGGCATACGACTTACGTTCTCTACGGAGCAAGTAAGGGAACTAAAGGCTGCACGAGTTCACCGTGCGTCGGGCAAGGAAGGCTG